GACAAATTCTGTCTGCAGACACTAAACCTCAAAGGTAGAAGGAGAATCAAAGGAGGAGCAACACACGGAAAATATCACACAGTCCAAATGACTTCAACATGCAACGTATGGTTTTAGTTTCCCCGGCTTTACATTGCAGAACGATCGCAGCAGGATGTGTGCAGAACGGAAACGGTTCAAGATTTAATCCTTTAGTTTAAAATAAGAGGAGCCAATCTGCTGCTGTTCTTCACATTTTATAAAGTGCAAAGCAAAGATTCAAAACAGATCAAAGGATTGGATTAAATAATACGGCACAGAATTTTGGAAAGGATGAGTTTGTTTATAATAACCTTAATGAATCTAAACTGGACGAGGATTAGAGAGCGTGAACAGCATTAATATTCTGATGAAGAAGTCAACTCTTTTTTCCAGTTTTCTCCTTTACATAACTTTTATTTAAACACTGTTTTCCTGTAGTGGTTCACAAATGTTTTGACAGATCAATGAATTGTCACATAATGGATACAAATCAAAGCTTTCAGTTTAAAGATGGCCAACTGATAGCGACTTGGACCCAGCTTTTATTTTGGCAGTTCACTTCCTGGTTTGTGTTGGTTAAATATTTAGGTAGAATCTGTTCTGCTCATGCATCTCCTGTAATGTTTCTGTTTTCATTATTAAACCTTAAACATTGATCATCAAGCTCCTGTCTGGATTTTGGTCCAACTTTAAAAATCACCTAAAACGATCCGCTCAGTTTTCCAACTATCATCTCGTCTGAATTAACAGGTATGAATCAAAAATATCAATTTCCAGATTCCCAAACTGCCTCTCACACTGGGTCAGCGGTAAAAGTTTGAATTTTAGAGTCTGAGCTTCATCATGAGTCAAAATGTATTCTATATTTAAGAGTCAATAAACTTTTGCTACTTATTATTCACAGTGATGAAGAAAAGACTTTATGTTGCCATATGTTTAAAAGATTGTTGAGTTCAAGGCTTTTACATTTGGAGGATGAAGAAAGAAACTGAAACGGTTTTGGATCCATGTTGTTTTCTGGCTGTCCTGCTGTGAAGCATACTTTAAAATAAAATATAAGCAACCATGATGAAGCTCATAAACTGGAATGGCGTTCATAAATCTCTCTAAATGGTGGGCACCGTCACACGCCTGGCCGCCACGCCTGGCTGCAGGCGATTATGTGGAAAACGTCAGAAGGTCCCGGAGCCGCAGACTGAACTCAGATGTTCAGCAGCTGAAAATTCACCAGGATTTACTGACTGACTTTCCTTCATAACATTTTATGTCCCATCAGTTACAGTTTTTGTTAGTGGCTTTGGTGCATTACTCACATCACTACTGACAAGCACTGGAGCTTTTATTTTGATTAATTAATTACATCGATTTTAACACTGTAAGCATTCTACACAATTAATCACTCTTTTCCCCTTTTACATATTTACGTTCCGGCTGGAACTTTTGTATTTACATGTTTCCAGGATGCCTGTAAAACTGACGCACAAGTTCTAACAACAGCCACTCCTCTTGGCCCTCTGAGGGATAATTCAACTATTGTTGTGCTAACGTTGTGCTAAAATCAGTTAGCCTATCAGCAAAACTGTTTGAGCTTGAAATAGCGTCTTAATGCTAAACATGTAGCAGCAGCAGAGACGCTAATGCTAATGTAGATTCACAGTAGCAGCTAATGCTAATGTAGATTCACAGTAGCAGCTAATGCTAATGTCAGCGTCTACATTTCAGAA